ATATATATATATATATATATATATATATATATATATATATATATATATATATATATAGATATATATATATTCACATGTGGTCACATACGTATATATATAGTTACATGTGTAGTCATATATAGTCACATATGGTCATATACATGTAGTCATATATAGTCACGTGTAGTCATATATAGTCACGTGTAGTCATATACATGTAGTCATATACAGTCACGTGTAGTCATATATATGTAGTCATATATAGTCACGTGTAGTCATATACATGTAGTCATATATAGTTACGTGTAGTCATATATAGTCATGTGTGGTAATATATAGTTATGTATAAGCTATGTACTAACATGTAGTCATGTATGAGTTATGCGAGAAGTATATGCTGGTGATGTATATGTATGTCTGTGTAGATTCAAATTTGAAGAAAAAATCATTGTTGTTTAACTATTTTTCTTTTTCGCAGGTCTTGGTGTTTGTTTGAATTACAGTAAGTTTTTGCGGAGTGGACTTTGTGTTCGTCGTTCAAAATAAGTTGTACTCGTGTTGAAAAGTGGAATTTCAGTCAAATTTAGTCGTATAGATAACGATATATAACTATAGATGACTATAGTCATGTATAGTTCCATATGGTAATTTATACTTATATACAAGTTATACGGTTTTTCTTTTCTGATGTATAGTGATCTTGATGATTGTGTTTTTTTTGTTGGGTACTAATTGATTTATAATACAAGATTCAAATTGTGAATTTATTTGTTGCTGTAATTTTTTTTTTTTATATATATATATATGTAATCAATGGTTTACACTATAGTCATGTGTAGTCAATTTGGAAATTATCAAAAAAAATAAAAAAAAGTGTAGTCAATTTGGATACAGTAAATTTATCAAAAAATTTAAAAATTAAAAAAATTAAAAAAATTAAAAAATTTAAAAAATTTAAAAAATTTAAAAAATTAAAAAATTAATAAAATTAAAAAATAAAAAATAAAAAATAAATAAAAATATACGAAAGAGGATATATATAAAAATTAATAATAAATAAACATTTATATTTTTATATTAAAAAAATATATAATAATGATAAATGCAGGTCTATCAATGCTAAATGCAGTCTGTCATAGTGCTGAATGCAGCTGGCAAAATTACTGAGTGCAGTTGGGCAAAATTGCATTTAAGGGCACATTAGTACTTTTACCTCTCTAGGGGTGTATCTCAAAGAAAGATTTTTAGGGGTGGACCTATCCCTATATATTTTCCATATGAGGGGTGTATATCAAATGGACCCTATTTTAATTGAAGTGTAAGTTTTGAGATTATATTTTAAACCCAATCACTTTTCCTAATTTCTTAGATATTTTAAATGAATTGCTATTTTTACATCATATAACTTTATAAACTACGAATAATAGAAATTAAAAGAGTTACTATTTTCCCTAAAAATATAATCATTTTCTTTGGAATGTAATCATGCTGAATATATTCGATTCAAATCGATCGAATATCAAACTTCGTTACGACTTGTACCCCTATGGCTTCATCAAATCTACATGAAACAATATCAACTAGGGGTGTTCACTCAGTCGATAAACCGTACCGAATCGAAAATTCCATGCGAGCCAAATGTCGAACCAAAAATTCGGTTTGGTATTCGGTACGTGCCAAATATCAAACCGAATATTCGGTCTAGTATTTGGTAATTTCTTTTGGAATTCCGATATACGGTATTCACATATGGTATGTCGCACCATACCGCATATCAAAATATTTAAATATATATATTTTTTTTCTTTTATTTAAAGTTATACAAAATTATAAAATATTTGTAGATTGATAATTCTTCCATTGTTTACAAATTACCCTCTATCGATAGTCGCTTTTTATGTTTAGGCCCGATTATTGAGATTTGAATGTCAAATTCAAAAATTATTTCGTAATTTTTTTTATCTTTTCTAAAATAAGAAAATATATTTCGGTTATACCGATATTGATACCGAGCCAAACCGAACGGAATAATTCGGTAAAAAAACCGTACTAAACCGAATAGTTCGGTTCGGTAAGCGGTACAAAATTTTGAAGTACCGTAATATTGATTTACCGAAATCCCGATACGGTTCGATACGATTTTACCGTATAAACACCCCTAAGATCAATCCAGGTTAGCATAATACATGAGCTCAAGTACCATTATCGTTAGCATAATACATGAGCTCAAGTACCATTATCATCGTTATATTTATTCCTAGTTGAAAAATAATTAATCACATCCATAAAATCAGGACACAATTATTTTAATTGCTATTCTTAGGTGGTGTTTGCAAAAGCTTTTTGAAAGTGATTATGAGCTTTTTTTTGCTCATAATCTGTTTTTACGTGTTTGCAAAATTAACTTTTGTTTTTGCTTCTCTTAAAATAATCTGCTTTAAGTTATATTTTTAAAAGCACCCCTAACACTGCTTTTTCTATTTAAGTTCATTTTTCGGAATATTTGCAAACACCCCCAACTTTTAGGTGGTGTTTGCAAATGATTATTTAAAAGCAGAAGTTAGTGATTGTGATTTAAGTTAGTTTTAAGTGCTTATTGCTAAAAGTTGGGGGTGTTTGCAAAAATTTCGAAAAATGAACTAAAATTGAAAAAGCAGGGTTAGGGGTGCTTTTGAAAAAATAGCTTAAAACAGATTATTTTAAGAGAAGCAAAAGCAAAAGTTGATTTTGCAAACACCTAAAAAAAGATTATGAGCAAAATAAACCGCATAATCACTTTCAAAAAGCATTTGCAAACACTTAAAACTGACTTAACTCACAATCTATAACTTCTGCTTTTAAATAATCATTTGCAAACACCACCTTAAAATAAAATAAAAACTTTCACATTATTTTATCTATTTATCATCATCATAATATTACACATTCATGACAGGATCCCATTTGTTATTAACAAGTAGTGATTACTCCAATACAATTTAATAATTGATTAATTTCCCACAACTAATTCAAGAATCCATAAAAAATATTCATTTTTCTTCTTTTAGCACATAATTTAATATTATTACATATATTTCTTTTTGCACCAAACTATAATTACATATCAAAAACCCTTTTAATAATAATTAAAAAAAAAACACTTATTCTCAAACAAAAGATTAATGACTGCAAGTGCAAGCTACGCTAAAGAATCAAGAAACACTCCTCCCATGGTTAAATTCGAAGCCACTCCTTCTCGAAGCTCCGTCTCTTCTTCACCTTCTTCTTGGTCAGAGCATAGTAATTTTCCACCTACATTTATCGGAGCTGATCATTGTATAAACCTCGTACCGTTTTCCAATCACGGACACCATGATTTTCGTAGTCGAAAAGTGTCGTTTTCGGGTTGTTTGAATGCGTCTCCAAAACCATGGGATAGGTTGAAGCTGTGGTGGAGTTGTTTTCCTCTCATGGCTTGCCAGGAAACTGATTTTCCAGGTCCTGTTTCATTGGAAGATGTAAGTTTTAATTTTTTTTTATTTTTTATTATTGGTATTTGCTAATAATTAATAATTAGATCTTTTGTTTTAATTTCTTGTTAATGGACCTGGTTACAATTACCTAATAGTCATAGTAGTAAATTAGTAATTAATTTACTACAATATGTGTCTTGTTCAAATTTATTTAATGTAGTCAAAGATTATTTGCCTGAATTTCACATGGGTTTTTCTTTATGTAATTGTTTGAAAAAGGAAATGTTGACGTATATATATGGTTTAATTTTTATTTTTTGCTACCCACTTACAAGTTAAAGAATCTGAAAGATATAGCATAAAATTTAGAGCAAATTACGCCAATCCCTTGAGGTACGAAAAAACCTTTATTGTTTGTGTAATTACGACTACTCTCCTGAATTATGTATTTTTACGAGGTGAATTTGATACTGTAAGAATAGAAGTGTAAAACAATACATACTTGATGGGTGGTTGTAAATACCCAAACATGAGGGGGTTTTCGTAATTTGGTCTTATCTCGGGGGGTTGGCCGTAATTTACCTAAAATTTCACGTCTTTAATCAAATTTTCATTGTACATTGTTACAGAGAAACAAGAAGTTTCCAGGACAACAAAAGAGTGGGGATAAAAATGAAGCAGAGGTATGGCACTGATTTAATTCACCTTTTTTAATTTAAAAAAAAATTGAATATATTATTATATTTAATGCACATTTAATTATGTTTCACTAAATGAAATAGTACAATCATAGGGTGATGGGGGGTGACTGTAACAACTTTCTGTAACTCTTATTTCTTCTCTTTATAGTCAATTTTCCACATACATGATTCCCAGTGATTCTTTTATCTCCATTTTGGTAATCTCCTATTATTAGATTCTACATTTAATTAACATTTTTCAATGAAACAATCATCTTTTTTCAATCCAAACAAAAATAATTAAAATAATAAATAATAATAATTTTATGTATACTAAAATTAAACTTAATTCAACAATGTGAAGATCTCTGTGCTTCACAAAATGCTCGATAAGCTGCAGCGTCGACAGAGCAACGATTCGTCTCTCACTATGCTTTCGAATTCTTTGCCTCCTAAAGTAAGTGTATATCTTTATTTTTTCTTACATACTATACATATAGTTTTATATATATACTAATATACATTTCGTGTTTATTTATGGTGTGTCAAGATTCAACAGATGAAAGAGTTGCTGTCTGAATTAGAAATGGTGGAAAACGAGATAACGAGACTGGAGTGCCAGATCAGCCAGCTCAAATCCGAAGAGAAACACGAAAAGGAATCCCACGTGGAATATTCCAAGGCGAAACGAACGCTCGACTATAATAATAATGATCACCACGAATCGAACGAGAAGGTGGCGTTCGATATAAAGGCCCTGCATTTCATCACCAAAGCCATAAAAGGAGATTATAAAGAGAAATGTACGAACAACTCATCGAAAAGATTCTCAACTCGAAATCGAAAAGAAGACGAAAATGTGCCGTTTCAAGAAAAGGTCTTACGAAGAAACGGGACTGTGAAACCTTCCTCCCCGTCGACAGAGCCAAGGCATCCAACCCCATGGGTAAAATAAAAATTCCCTGTTTTTTAATTTTTTTTGAAAGTTATATTTCGATAACTACCAATGCCTAATTAATTATTTAACTTGTAGTTAGATATAAAATTCCCCTCGACACCGTTACACACGGAGGAAGAGAACATTCAAAGATGGTCTCCGAATAAGTTGTCTGAGAATATAATGAAGTGTTTGGTATTCATATTCGTGAGGCTGCTTCGAACATCTAGAGCTATAGAGTTGGAGAAATCGGGCCCCATTATCCGGGCCTCGTCTAGCTTTTCCCTCAGCTTCAGGGCTGAAGCAAGCTCGAATTCGAAAACGGGCCCCGCGTTTCAAAAGGAATCTCGGCAGCGAGATCCTTATGGAATCTTTGACTGTGAGGGATCTATACCGAGGGATATCGGTCCTTATAAGAATTTGGTTAGATTCACTTCGAGCTCGGTGGACGCTAAGTGTATCAAGAATTCGAGCTATGTTCCATTGTTTCAGAAATTGAAGTGAGTTACAGTAATTTTTTTTAGATGACATTTTTTTTAAATAATTTTTGAAATATTATATGACTTCGTTGTGATTTTTTCGAAAAATGTAGGGTTCTGATGGACGGTCTTCGGAGAGTTGACTTGAGGTTTTTGAGTCATCGACAGAAGCTAGCCTTTTGGATCAACATGTACAATGCTTGCATCATGCATGTAACACAATTTAATTCATATATATGATTTTCTTTTTTCTCAATATATATATTAGTTGTAAATTAAATTCAATTTAGTGATGAAAACTTAATATTGCTATGGAATTTTAATGCAGGGATTCCTCCAATATGGAGTTCCATCTGTTTCTAGCCCTGAGAAGCTGCTAACACTAATCAACAAGGTAAATCAATGAACTGTTTTTCATTAGCAATTAATCATGGTACTTAATAACTAATTAATCGTATTTTAACGCCGATCACGCAGGCAACTCTGACTATCGCCGGTAGCTCAATCAACGCTCACGCAATCGAACGCTTTATTTTGCGGAAACCATCCGATTCGCCGGACAAAGAGGTATATATATATATATATATATATATATATATATATATATATATATATATATATATATATATGTGTGTGTGTGTATATATATCTTATCGAAGCAACTATATATCCTTATATTATATAACTGAAATTCGCGCTCGTTGATTTTGACGGTTTAGATTATGGGGAAAGGAGGAAAGGACAATAAGCAGATGCTAGTTCATCAACTATACGGACTAGAGACACCTGATCCAAATATCGTGTTCGCCTTATGCTGCGGCACTCGTTCCTCTCCGGCAGTAACTAATTACTATAGACTAGCATTAGTACTAATTAGTATATTCTTTTTTTTTTCCGAAGACTGATCATTATTTGAAATTATGAAATGTAGGTGAAGATATACACGGCAGAAGGTGTGACAGGCGAACTCGAAAGATCGAAACTCGAGTACCTACAAGCTGCAATAATGGTGAAAAGCAACAAAAGGATCGGAATCCCGGAGCTTGTGCTGAAGAACAGGCACGATTTTGCAGATCATGACGTGGACTCGTTGATGGAGTGGCTGTGCCGACAGCTGCCTACTTCCGGAACTCTCCGGAAATCGATTGTCGATTGTTTTAGGGGGCGGCGTGGTGGTGGTGGTGGTGATAAGGCATATTCCGTTGTTGTTGAGAATATACCTTATGAATTTGAGTTTCAATACCTTTTGGCCATATGATGATCAATCTAATTAATAAGTTTGTATGTTGATGGTGCAAATTTTGCGCTTTCAAGACCTCCCGTTGAACTCAACCCACTCGATCATCGGAGAATTCACCCGACATCGGATCTAGGGCCGGCGGTGCAGAATAAGTCACCGGAAAATTCAAGAGAGTATATTATTAATGTTATATTGTAACCTAATAGGGTTTTTCATTTAGAGAATTATACATAGCTATTTCATAACTTAAGATCTTTCCGTTCGTCCGAGATTTACATTAATTGATTAAGTATCGATCGTAATTTACATACTTTTTTAATCTATTTATGAAAATTATGTTAAGATCTTCGAGCTCGCCACATACCACCCCGCGACCACTTGTGTGCTAATGACCTTTATACGCGCGCAATTTTTTGACAAAGTATACGAGAGACGTAAATTATACTAGGCTAATTATGTGTGACAAACTAAACGTAGCAAACAACATGGTTAGGGTTTTCGACATTAGGGCTTCGACGCAATTTTTTTGGATGCCGTGCAACAACTATAGTATCAATTTACCTATAATTTGCAAAAAAATAGTAAAAAAATTGAAAATCAATGTTAAGAATTTACCAA